ACCCATTAACTGCCCGTGACATCGAGAATCATATACGACTTGGGATAAAATGTCGTATTTTTTCCCTTGAAACTTAAAACAAACACCGCCCAGTGTGTAGGCAGTTACCCGCTTTCGATCATAATCAATGACGACCCGATGTGCCTCTAACCAATCCATTCCAAGGATCACATCAAACTCCGACATGTCCATGACCCTAAGGTCTATGGTGAGTAAGACCCTCAAGATTTCTAACTCACAATCCCGACATATCTGATCAACACACACCCTAACTCCTAGGGGTGAATCAACCTCTAGGCCCAAATCCCTTACACATGATGCAGAAATGAATGAATGCGATGCACCAGAGTCAAATAACACCCTAGTCCATAAGCGAGATAGTAGAAATGTATCCTGTATAACCGATTGACCCACCAGCTCAGTCTGAAGTGAGATGGTGTAGACACGCCCCTGGGTCCCTGAAGTCCTGACCTGCATGCCCTGTCTTAGGCCTCGACCCATGCCCTGACCCATCTGGTTTGATTGCGAAGTCCTCGTTCGTGTAGTGGTAGGGGCCTGAGTAGCACCCTAGAACTGGTATTAGCTCCCCTGGCCCATGGTAGGATAGGGAGGAATGTAATGTGTCTGTGACTGCTCCACTGATGATTGGGACTGAGATGATGTCTCATGACTCTGAGATCCCTGCCTCTGAGGACAATCCTTTCTCATGTGACCCGACTAGTGGCAATGATAGCAAGTCCTTTGACCTGCCTGATATGTTATCCTGAAGTTTTCCCCGCCTTGGGAGGAGCGACCCTGGCCTTGGCCCTGATAACCACAGCCTTGTCCCTAAAACACTTGTGGAGAAGAAATCCTCTACCTCTTCCCCGAACTAGAAGAAGATGATTGACCCTCCTTCTTTCAATCCTTTGCACCAGCCTCCCGAATGTTCCTAGGATCATCCACCTCTCGTTCAATGACCATCGCTATCTCGACCATTGAATCCAAATCTTGTAGGCGGAGGCCCACAATCTTTCCTCAGATGGATAATTTAAGACCATCCTCAAACTTCCTCACCTTGGCCATGTCAGTGGCCACATAGTCATCGACGAAACGGGCTAATTCGGTGAACTTAACCACGTATTCCATTATTGTCATCGTCCTTTGTCGCAAGTCTAAAAACTCCCGGGCCTTTGCATGTCTTGCGGTAGCCGAAAAATACTTCCCCATGAAAAGTTCCTTGAACTCTCCCCATGTCATGGTCTCTAAGTTCTTCGAGCCCTTCACCCAATCCCACCACACTTGGGCTTCTCCTTTTAGCTGGAATGCAGCTAGTCTTATTTTTGTGGCATCGGAGGTGATCTCCATTGCCTCTGGAGGTTATTCATGTCTCCTTGGCCCACATTTGCACCCGTCTGTGCAACATTAGCAGTTGTAGCACTAGCTTGTGCAATCGTAGTAGCCGCCACACCAATAGCCTCCACAAAGGCTTGTTGGTCAAAGGCCGATGGTGGTTGGTTGTTCCACCCACCACCTCAGCGTCCTCTTCCTCGATTTGTCATCTACACATATATCAAATAGCAATCAAACACTCACATAGTATCCCAAGATAGGGAATCAAGTTTAAACTTGGATACTGTTCTCCTTGTCTCTCTAGTAGTGTGTATACCCCATACTAGTAGACTTTTACACTTTGAACTATTCTGTTCCCTTATTTTTCAACCCCCAAGGTTATGTTTTCTAATCTTGGTGTCACTTTTCCACATACGTTTTTACCATGTATCTCATTCACATAACATACAACTCATAACATGTATCATCTTAAGCACATAGCATTTAAGCACATAATCATGAATGCACAATGCATGCAATGGTCTAAACTCATGCCTAACAGTCCTAGGTAAATCGTATACCTATGCTCTGATACCAAGTTGTGACACCCCTAAAATCGGGGATCATTACTTAACCCGTTGACCACCCGTCAACCCGCAGAATTGCCCGTGAGTGTCGCTTGATTCGACATTACACTGTTATTATTCCATCACCTGAAATTTTAACTCACATGTATTACCCATGTTCCTTTAATCATTTAATCTGACCAAGGTCCAATATACCTCATTTAATATCCATTTGTATCATTGGAACCAAGGAAAACAAAGCCCAAAAATATGGCAAAAAAATTTAAAAATTTCAGATTTTAGGAGACAGTATCGGTACTGTGTACCGATACGTTTACCTTCTACACAGACAGTACCGGTACGCTTTTTCTTCTGGGCAGACTATACCGGTACGCAGTACCAGTACACTTTGTCCAGTTTTGCCAAATTCACTTGTTGTCGATTTTTAACTCATTCCAAAATCTACATTTTTCATCCAAAACATACTAAATCATGTTTTTCACATATAATCTAATATATACAACGTTTAATACAACCCCTTCCAAACATTTGCATACCAAATGGGTTTTAAACAAAAGTTTTTACAAAAACTTATTTTCAAAAGCCACAACTCGATTTTTCTTCATCGTTGATATCCCGAATGAGTGCCATCCACCAGAGTGTAGTCCGCACCTAAAATATTTTCCCGTATAGGGTGAGCCATGCCCAATAGAGTATTTCCTACAAAGGCTACTCCCCAACCTAAATGCATATGCAATGTTCTCATGTAACAATTCACAACCAACAACATTCCAAACACGTGCACATCATTCCATTTTGGAATCTTAGCAATGTCATGCCATGAAGTGAGATGAGATCTAATCATGCAACTCAACCCGAGTCCTTCCTGACTCTTTTTTTCCCATGTAATGCCATAGTTTTTAAAATCGGGCCTTCCAGCCCACTGTCATTAGTTTCACTCACCCAATGACTATTTGAAAATTTTCGGGTCTTTCGTGGAGTGGGTATTTATGGACTTACACCAATGGTCACCCAACCAACACGGAATTTATGGACTTTCACCAACGGTTCTGCGTACACAGATACACTTTATGGACTCTTATACCAACGGAAGTACGTATCCAAATAACCGGATCTCTCCCCGCGGGATAGTCTAGCCCTTCTTGCTAACCCCGACCCAATTCTTTTTCATTCAACCATGCGACTCAGCCGGATATTCAATCCAATTTTCCCGAGCCCACCCATCATCCACCTATTTGATGTTTGATATCAATCATGCACCCACACACCCACACACATGGCTATGGATGCGATTTCTCCGTGCAAACGCAATGTAATGCCCCATTGCTATTTCAATATCATGCACATATGTAAAGAGTGTCAAATGAACAATTTTAAACACATATATACATATCTCATGGTAATTTACATCTCATGCATATAATTACCAACTTTATCACAATGTTAATACATCAATAAGCATATATCAACATTTTATTTTTCAACAACAATCACTAGCATGTTATTACATAATATAAGCCAATAGCACACTTCAATCCCCCAAGGCATAATTTTAAACACATAGCATGCCCACAATCACATTTCCATGGAATTACACAAGCAATTACCATATATCAACTCCAAGTTAGGAATTTATTTGACCCATTTCTATATCTATTTTCATACCTATTTTACCAATTTCACAAGCATAGACACATGATATAGCATTTTATAAATCCACCCATCACATATAGACAACCTAGGTTGTAAATAAACTTAAGTAGAAAGGAACCCTACCTCTTAAAGCGTAAAACGATATTGAAAAGTTTCAAGTACCCAAAACAAGCTAGAACCTCTACTTCCCAAAAATCCCGTCCCTGGAATCTCACCCAAACCCAACCGCCTTGGTATGATTTTGTAGCCCACGTTGAGGAGAACAACTTTCCTTCTTGGCCTGAGCGGATTCGATCACTCAATCTCTGTAAATCTTAGAGAGGAGGTGGAGAAATTCTCTCTTTTCCCTCACTTCTCTATCGGCTAACGGCTGAACACAAAAATGAGGCCAAAAATCAGATTTTCCCCTATTTATAGTCTTAGAATACTTGGCCCATAACGCACCACATAGCCTTTTTTTTTCGGGTCTGTTTTCATCCCGAAACGATTAAATTTTGTCCCAGTTCAAGTTTAAATTAATTTTATTTTAATTTGCCTTAAATTATTTTTCAACTTTCGAAACTTTATCAAAAATCCCGTTTTTGGGTCACCTGAGACTCAACTGTCCTGTAAAATGAGAAAAATTCAACTATCTCGGAATTCGATGAAATTTGAAGTGGTAACTAGATTTCGCAAGATGAATCCAGTGGTGAGGTCCATTTCGTCATCCGAGATCTAGAAAATTTTAGGTTTTTAATTCGTACTGTAATGATAAATTACCATTTTACCATTTTTATGAAAAATTTAAATTTACCTGGGTTTTACAATGGCGGTGGTAGAGGTAGTGATGAGGCACTTTTAAACACTATTTTTTTAAAGTATTTATGAGAAATAATTTTAAAAAAATCACTCCAAACACACTCTTAGGAGCCTATTTTTTTTATTAAATTTAGGGTGTTAATATTAACCGTTAGATTAATTTTAAAGTACAATTTAAAGCGATCTCAACCGTAAATAACAAAAATTATTTTGTTTATCTTTTGAGATCTAAATTGTAAACTACTTTATTATATAGATTTTTATGTGATAGTCTCTCATGGAGAATTTAATCTTTTAGGGTGTAATTAAAATTTTGAATATCTTTTGACGGTGAAAAGTGTTATTCATTCCCCCCCCCCTCCCCCCCCAAAAAAAACAAAAAACAAAAAACAAAAAAAAAACAAATCGGTGAAGACCCAACCAAATAATAGCAACAAATCGCTTAAATCATTGAATACCAAAGATAACTCTTACCTAAAGAAACGGTGTAATATGAGTGACCGTTGATTGAGTCTATTTGAGACTGTCGGATGGATTTATTGAAAACTGTCATGTCTATATTATGGATTCAAAGTGTTGCATAATGTCAAATGCATCAGTGGTAGGAGTGAACCAAAGCAACACAGAAACAAAAATTAATTACAGAAGAGAGACTAACAGAGATTCCATTCAAAACCCTGCTCAACAATCAAGTATCATTCAATTTTACACTGCAGATTTTTTTCCCTAGTTTTTGGGAACTTTCATCACATCTGCTTGTTAATTCAAAGCCCTTCAAAACTCACACAACTTCATTCACAATCCTACCCTGGAAACCGCCTATTTACATATCACATTCAGTACAAAACCTATGGAGAGAGATTAACACATACAGCAATAGAGGGAAACAACCAAGTTACACACAGGAACGCTTTACACATCTCCCAAGTGAATTTTCTGCCTTCTAGAAAAATCGAAATATATAGACACTCAAACAAACTTGACTTGGACGTTGATGCTACCGAATGATCAGAGACTGAAAGTGTAGGGCAAGGGCTCTTCACTGCACACATACAAAAAGTTAAACATGCACACACTATACGATGAGTGGAATACCAGGTTCTACCGAAGAGGAAGGTTGCAAGGCACGGATTCTGACATTGTATTTTCTTTGTGTTGATATTTCACTGCCTGAGGTAGATTCTGATCCATCCGCTACAAGTTGGTAAGATGTATCATTATCATCATAAGCATTTCCCACATGGTTACCACACTTCCGACACAGAAGTTTTGTTCTGCGGCGAAACAAGCCCCACAAGCGTTTGGAAATAAAGTAGGGTACACATTGGGACTGATCAACCTGAGTGAATTTGCCCTCGTCTATGTAGACAAATGATATGATCCCTTTCTTCATGGACTTTCCGTACTTGGAACCAATCATAGAGGTATTGCGAGTGGAGGAATTTAGGTTTAGTTCATATCCGCAAGAACCACAGCTGCATGAAGGAGGCTAAAATTTGAAGCAGAAGTTGGAAGATAGACCACCAAAAAGAAAACAAAAACAACCAAAAAAGATATACAAAACAATCAGTGTTTGTTATCCACGTACAAGCACATTTCTCGCTCAATTACTTGGAGCAGTTAGTATAAATCAATTATGTTCCAATTATATGCACCTCATACTCATTTTGTATTCAAAACGAACTGGACAATTTGAGGAGTCATGTCAGCCAATCCATTTCAGTTCATAAGAGATATCCACACCATAAAAATAGTAGCAAACTTTCAAAAACCCTTCGTATTTACTCTGATATAAACCGACCATAACACAAAGGGCATTTACACCGAAATGCTCCAGCAATCAGGAAAAACAAAAAAGGAAAAAAAATCCTATATTTCCATGCCATTTAGGAAAAAAGGAAAAAAAAAACACTATATTACATCAAATTCCAAACACCAGAAGTAGGAAACCATCAAGACCTAGAGGAAATTTCATTAAAGGAACCAAATGAATGCTGTCTTCCAGCTCACACTGTAGAACCAGGTTGAACATCCCATGGATATTAAAACAGTCCACAAAATTACACATAACAGTTCAGCAAACAAGATGATGTTGCAGCATGAAGACGTCTCTATAATGTCGGCAGTGAATCATCTTTAATAAGAATTGGCTACATAATTAGACCAAAATAAACAATCTAATATAAGAAATACAAATAGATGGGAAGTACAGGTGTATTTGAATTCATGGCCTTGTGTTGCGTCTAAGCTAAAGCATCAAGAAAGCTATTAATTAGTGCATGCAAGTTCCCCAAGCAAATGAAAATAAGGATCAGAAGAGATCTGTGAAAGGCTAACTTGGAATAAACGTAAGTGAAAAGGGATACTCAAATTAAGAGTAGAGCCCCGTACATATATCCAAAAATAATACAGAGTGACTTAAACATCTTTGTAGTTTAGGCAAAATATAAAAATCATAGTAAGGGTAAAAAAGGGAAAAGAAATCCTAATAAACTAGACTATCTATACTCCAACACTCCCCCTCAAGCTAGGCGCAAAAATGTCAACTAAGCCAAGCTTGACAACGGAGTCCCGAAGAATAGACAGAGTGACAGGTTCGGTAAAAACATCCGCAACTTGATCACTGGTCCCCACAAACGATGGAGTAACAAGACCACTGCTGACCTTCTCCCGAAGAAAGTGAACATCGATCTCTATATGCTTCGTTCTCTCATGTAGTACAGAGTCAGAAGCGAGCTGAATAGCAGATTGATTATCACAATATAATGTGGATGGAGAGGTCACTGAAAAACCCAACTCGTCAAGAATCGATCGTAGCCAGATAATCTCACATGTGCCAAGTGCCAATGCCCAATACTCTGCCTCTGCGGACGAGCGGGAGACAACTGCCTGCTTCTTGCTCTTCCAAGAGATAAGACGAGTCCCTCGAAAAGTACAGAAACCCGTAGTAGATCGACCATCACATGCTCCCCCATAATCTGAATCTGAATAACAGGCTAGAGAACCGGTCTGAGATCCTGATGCATAAAATAACCCAAGTCCAGGACAAGACTTGAGGTACCGAAGAATATGATAAACTGCATCAAGATGAGGCTGACATGGCCTATGCATGAACTGACTAACTCGGCTGACTGCGAATGAAATGTCCGGCCTAGTATTGGCTAAGTAGATAAGTCTACCTACCAATCTTTGATAAACTGTCGGATCTTTCAACTCCTCACCTTCAGCAGTAAGCTTCAGGTTTGGAATCATGGGTGATGATGCCGGTTTGCACCCCAACATCCCAGTGTCTGAAAGAAGATCCAAAACATACTTTCTCTGAGAAAGAACAATACCTCTGCTTCTACGGGCAACCTCAATCCCAAGAAAGTATCGCAGAAATCCAAGATCCTTCACATCGAAGGCCTTCCCAAGGTCTATCTTGACCTGCGCAGTCCCAGAAACATCATCACCAATAATAATAATATCATCAACATATACCAGAAGGATGATACACTGTCCAGAAGTATTCCGTCGAATAAAGCAGGTATGATCAGAATGACACCTGGTGAACCCCAATCGTATGACTACATCACTGAAGCGAGAGAACCAGGCTCGTGGCGACTGTTTCAGTCCATAAAGAGACTTACGCAGTCGACATACCTTTCCAGCATACTCCCCCTCACCACGAAAGCCCGGTGGTGCATCCATATAAATAATCTCGTCCAGATCACCGTGAAGAAACGCATTCTTCACATCTAATTGATGAAGAGGCCAAGAGTACTCCGCAGCCAGAGAAATAATCAACCGAACAGTAGTCAATTTTGCCACGGGGGCAAATGTAGCACCAAAATCACGACCTGGTACCTGAGTAAAGCCCTTCGCCACAAGTCTAGCCTTGTAACGATCAATAGTACCATCCGCAAGAAACTTCAGGGTGTAAACCCAGCGACAGCCAACAGGCTTCACCCCTGAAGGTAAGGAGACAAGATCCCATGTATGATTACGCTGAAGAGCGTCCATCTCTGTCTGCATGGCAAGAACCCACTGGGGCTCCCGCATAGCTTCCGAAATAGAGCGAGGAACCAGCGTATCTGATAAGACCATAGTATAAGCTCGAAATGTGGGAGACAGATCACCATAAGAAACATAAGCAGAGATCGGATATAAAATCTTGGCGGTCCAACCATATCGATCAACTGGACGGCGATCACGCCTTGGATAACGACGCCCTAAATCACCATCCTCTACTGATAATGTCTTATCAGGTAAAGTAACTGGCTCAGCACCTGTAATCTCATCAGTACTAACAACAGGTGCATCAATATGCTCAACAAACTGAGAAGTATTACCTGCATCGCCTGAGGTAGAGGGGATATCAGCAGGGTGATGAGAGCGAGGACAACGAACATACACCTGCAAAGGAAGAGAGACTGGTAACTCTGTACTGACAGGGATGAGTGACTCCTTTGGAGGAAAAACGGATGACCCTGTAGGGATAGTGATCAATGACTCTGACTCTTGTGGTAATGGAAAATCAAAGGGAGTATCATCAACTGGAGGGGCAGACAAAGGACTGAAAGGAAAATAAGGAATATGCTCAAGAAAGGTAACATCTAGACTGTGATACATACGACGCCTAATAGGATCATAACATCGATACCCCTTAGATTGATGACAATAGCCCACAAAGATACAACGAATCGCTTTATCATCAAGTTTATGACGAGTAGGAGACCGATCCTGAACAAAACATGTGCATCCAAAAACACGAGGGGGGACCGGAAAAAGTGTCCGCTCAGGAAATAAGACCTGTAAGGGAGCCTTATGCTGAAGAACACGACTCGGCGTACGATTGCACAGAAAGGTAGAAGTCAAAACAGCAAAATGCCAATAAGATTTTGGTACCCTCATGCCTCTAAGCAGACAACGTACCATCCCTATCAAACTCCTATTTTTCCTCTCAGCAACACCATTTTGCTCAGGAGTATATGGACAAGTGAGTTGCTGAAGAATACCCTGAGAAGAAAGGTGAGACACTAAAGCATCAGACACATATTCTTTGGCATTATCCGAACGAAGAGCACGAACAATGACATCGAATTGTGTCTTAATCATCTGTAAAAACTGAGTGATTATAGGGAGCACATCAGACTTCCTATGCAAAAGGTAGACCCAAGTACAACGGGTATGATCATCTATAAATGTCACATAATATCTGGCACCTGACAGAGCAGTAACGGGAGAGGGTCCCCAAATATCAGAGTGTATTAGGTCAAATGGCTTGGGTGACTGGTGCATGCGAGGAATATAATTGGCCCTAACATGTTTTGATAGGGAACAGATAACGCAATCAAGTTTACCACCAACACAAGCATTACTCAAAGCAGGAAACAACATACATAAATATTTAAAATTTGTATGTCCAAAACGGTCATGCCACAATTGAACAGTTTGTGACGAAAAATCATAACGACAACTACTAGGTAAAATACTAGCATGCAAGCTAGGAACAGAAAAAGACAAAGCAGGTGCAGGTGAAGGAATTGGTGAAACTGGAGATGGATTGCCAAGATAATACAGTCCATCTTTCTCATGTCCCTTGATAATAATCCTCCTGGTACTCAGGTCCTGCAAATAACACGAATCAGATAAGAATACAACCGCACAGTGAAAATCTCTGGCTAACTGATGTACAGATAATAGATTCATGGCCAACTTTGGCGCATGAAAAACCGAATGTAATGTAAGGCCATCTGGGAGACGGACTGTACCCCTACTAACAATAGGGGCATGTGTTCCATCTGCTAACTGAACCTGTGTATGTAACGGCTCGTCAAAAGTGGTGAAGTGATGGGTCTCACCTATCATGTGACCATTCGCACCCGAGTCCAACATCCAAAGGGGAGATGAACTGGCACAAGCGTGAAAGGCACGAGATATACCTGTAGTGGTGACAGCAGCAGTAGTCAGACTCTGAGATGTCAGAGCAGACATAAGTATATCTAATCGGGAAGTGATAGCATCCATATCACTTTGCCAAGGAGGAGCAGTAGCAGGAGTGGCGGTAGTGGGCGGTGGTACCTCAGCAATAGCAACAGTACGGTTGCGAGAAGGTGGCTTAAGCTCTGGATGGAGCTTCCAGCAAGTAGCCCTGAGATGTCCTGGTCGGCCACAATAATCACATTGACGGGAATCCCCCCGTCTGCGCTGATCTGGGGCGCCCTGACGGCGCTGGTCTGAGCGTTGCCCATCCCTGACTAAGGATCCTGAACGGGACCCTACAGCAGCTGCAAGGGCCATCTGGTCAATCGAAGGAGTCAAAGCTGCAACTGGAAGTGATGCAATACGGACTCGACGCTCATGCTGCTCAATCATCCCATACACCTCATAAAGAGAAGGAAGTGTCAACATCGACAAGATCTGAGAACGAGGTCCCTCAAACTCATCACGAAGCCCCATAAGGAACTTGTGAATCCTATCCTCCTGCTCTCGAGTATGCAAGAATGTTG